TTCTTTTTGCTTATGTGGTGCTGAGGAATCGAACCCAGGGCCTCATGCATGCAAGGCAAGTGCTCTACCACTGAGCCACCTTCCCAGCCCCATGTGAAACTCTTATCTCCAGTAAACCACCAGAAAACCGGAAGTAGTGCTGTAGCTCAAGTGGCAGAGCGCTCGCCTTGTGCGCCTTGAGCTGAAATGCTGAGGGACAGCGTTCAGGCCTAGAGTTCAAGCCCCACGACCAACAAAACAAACCAAAAACATGCCTACCTTGTTAAGATGGAAGGTTTCAGGTGGTAAACACAGTCCTGGAAAGGAAAAGCGTGTAGAGAAAGAGAGAACTTGAATTTATCCTGAGTGAGTATTGTAGACCTCTTTCCTACTGGATTTCTAGGTCCTGTGATAGATAAGTATTTTAGAGCCTTCAAAGTGAAACTGTAATGTTATCTTTAAATTTTTGTAGTTATAACTTAAAAGTTATAAGCCTTGGGCCGGGCACCGGTGGCTCATGCCTGTAATCCTAGCTACTCAGGAGGCTGAGGTCTGAGGATCATAGTCCAAAGCCAGCCCAGGCAGGAATATCCCTGAGATTCTTATCTCTAATAAACCACTCAGAAAACGGGAAGGGGCTCTGTGGCTCAAGTGGTAGAGCACAAGTGCCCAGAGTTCAAGCCCCACAACCAACAAAAAATAAATAAAATAAATAAAAAGCTTGGAGCAATGCTTGGCAAGTGGTACTCAAAAAGTACTTTTAATGATAATAAAGCTCACAATTATTGTCTATGCTTATATTATGCATAGAGCTTCTCTGGAAGGGACTGGAGGCATGACTCAAGTGGTAGAGTACCAACTGAGCAAGTGAGTAAACTTGTGGAGGTCCTGAAAAAGGAAAAACAGAAACAAAAAAGCCAGATGCTAGTGGCTTACACCTGTAATCCTAGTATTTAGGAGGCTGAGATCTGGGGATTGCGGGTCAAAGCCAGCCGAGGCAAGCAAGTCTGTGAGACTCTTATCTCCAATAAGTAACCAGAAAACCAGAAGTGGCTCTATGGCTCAAGTGGTAGAGCACTTGCCTTGAGCTGAAGAGCTGAGGGACAGCGCCCAGGCCCATGACTGACAAAAAAAAAAAAAAAAAAGACATTCCCTGGAAGAAATTATTTAAGAAGTAGAGTTATATATTTGGGAGAGGAGACTAAGGCTCAGTATAGAAAAGTCACAAAATTTTCTATCTCTACATGCTGTTTTAGCTATTGACTTTTATAACGACTATATGCATATATTCTCAAAAAATGTTTTCCATATTCAAAGAAAGTATGTCTGTTGTCTAGTATGTGCAAGTCACTGGGTTTGATCCCCAGCCATACAAAAAATTATATCTACATTTTTATATTTGTTATGTAAATGGTTAACGATTTCTAAGATTTTCTTTCAACAGTTTGAAGGTCTAAAAGTTACATGTTACGGGATTTTAATGTAATGGTACTTATATTAAAATAGGCCTACTACATTTAAAGGACTCTACTAGGCAGATTTGTAGATATTATTTTCAGTTGCAAAACTAGAAATTTGCTCTCAGAATGGAATCTTTGTATAAGGTATTGTGGCATTAGATTTGTTAGATTTCCCAATTTCTGTGGATTGTTTAGGGATTAACATGTTAAGATTTTAAAATCAAGCAAGTAGCTAAAAATCTTTAGTTATGAGGTTAAGATATATTAAAAAGAAAGAAATTTTAAGGTGTATAATAGGTTGCTTCTAGAATCTTTCTCAAACATTCAGGCCTTGCAAGGCTTTGAACGTATGTAATCATAGCTCATCAGTGTTAGCAGTGCAAGATTCAGGCTAGGATGTACTCAGCTTCAACAAGGCAGAGTTTCAGTATCGCTGTGGTTTAATTCACAGCATTTTTTAAAAAGTAAGTTATCTTATGATGATTAATGTATTCATTTTAAATATATAATGATTAAATGTGTTTTAATTTTTAGCTTTTTGCACTGACTCCTCTTCTCTCAGACTAACCACTCTCCAGCTGGTCAAGAATCACATGGCTGTTCACTATAATAAAATCCTTTCAGCCAAAGGTAAAAGTTCATATGTAAACTTTCTGTGCCCAATTTGACACCCCGGCCCGCCCCCCAATAAATCTTTGGCAGAAATAGAAGGATTTGTGTCTGATATAGTAGGATACCAACTATTGACTTTGTAGAACACCAGGGTCTTTTGTTTGTTTTTCACTATGTTTAAAATCTACATCATACCTAGGCTATTTCATTTTATGTGTTTGAGTTATATCTTGTTGTTAGATACTGCTTTTTTTCCTTTCTATTTATAATTTTTCCTTGAAGCCCAGGTGGGCCTCAAACTTGCAATCCTCTTGCCTCAGCCTCCTGGGTGGTGAGATTATAAATATATACCACCACACCTAGCTGGCTATTGAATTTAATGTTTGTAATCACTTTTTTGTTTTCAAATCTGCTATGAAAGTTACACAAAGAAGATACTGGCTACTGTTTTTATTTTTGAGTTTCTGGTCTAAATATAAGTGCATATTCAATTAACAATTCTGAAAAACATGTATGTTAATAATCACTACTATAATTATACTATCAAACTGGAATCATTTGACTGTAACTTTCAGGCCAAATTCTCCTGCCACCTGTTATGTTCAGTATGAACTAAGAATAATGTTTATATTTTAAAGGCTAAAAGATAAAAGAACAATAGTTTGTGACATATGAAAGTAATATGAAATTGATATATAACTGTTCATAGGCACCACCATGCTTGTTGTTTTACGTACCTGTGGCCACTTTTGAACTAACAAGCAGAGCTGACTGCTGTTACAGACTGTGGCACCATGCAAAGCCCAAAGCCCTTCCTCTCTGACTCTTTTTCAGAAAAATCAGCCCCAGAACTTCTTACCTTTTGCAGTCAGTCCCTCTCCCTCAAAACCCCACAGCCACTAATCTTCACTGTTACTACAGTTTTACCTTTTCTGTAATTTCATCTTCACTTCTTTCAATCAGCATAATACCTTTGAGACTAACACATGTTGTCACGTTTATCAGTATGTCTTCCTTTTACTACAAAGTAGTATTACATTTAATAAACCTGACATCATTTGTTTATTGATTCACCGATTTGTGAATACTGGATTGTTTGGGATCACCTTTGGATACTGGGAGTAATGCTGTTATAAACATCCACAGATAACCTGTGAACATGTGTTTCTGTATTTGCTCAAGTGGAATTTTGAGGTAATATGGCAAGTGTATATTTAACCTTAAAAGAAAATGCCCAGTTATTTTCCAGATTCCTGTCTTGCTGTGTATTCCCATTGCTCCCTCATTTTCACCAGCATCTGTTGGTGGTGGTCCTTGTTAGCCATGGCAGTGGACCTGTTATAGTAGGTCTTCACTGTTTGAGCTTCCAGAGATCCTGATGCCCAATGATGCAGCCTTTCTTATTTGCCATTTGTCTTTTGTTTAAGTCTTTTGTCCACTTTTTAAAACAGGTTGTTTGTTTCTGTAATAGTAAGTTATGAGTTCTTTACATATTAAATGCAGGTCTTGTATCTGCTATGTGTGTTATAGGTATTTTTCCCCAGCCTGTGACTGGTTCTTTTTCCTCATAGTACTGTGGAGTAAACTCAGGGTCTCATAGCTGTTAAACTTTTTACATTTAAGCTACACCTCATATTTTCTTTTAAAAACATTCTGGAATAAATGTTAGTAACAGCAAGATTAAAAAATAAATGGTGTAGTTATTAGATACCTTTTCCCTAATGCCTTCTAAAATCTTAATATAATTATTAAAACAAGGAAATTAATATTATAAATACTAATAACTATGAGCCTTTTTTGAATTTCACTAACTTTTTGCTAATTTCACTTAATTTTTAAATGTTCTTCTTTATTTTTTTTAGGCAGGGTCCTTCTATGTAGCTCAGAGTGGCACAATGTACCTACCTCCATCTCCCAATGAGTCATGTTTCTTATTTGCAGAACTAAAATTTTAAACTTGTGGTTTATATTTTATGATGCTTACATTTTTAAATAATTAAAATTTTCAAAAGAAAAAATAATATGATGTTAAAAATGTGAAATCAAATTCAGTTTTCAGGATTTATAGTTTGTATGCCCTATTGAGTTCTTGGTCTAATTTAAGTCACTAAGGTTTTTCTAAACTTATTTCATTCAGGATGTTTTGTACTTTTAAATCTTACACTGTATGTCCCACTATATAATATGATTGAAATGTCACTGTTTTCCCAATCATATTCAAATTTTCCAGTACCATATGATTTAGAAATTCTCCTTTCCCTCTTGGATTACCTTGGCACTTTTGGAAAGTCATTTGGGCCATGTGTGGGTCTTGTTTTTACTTAGTCTTTGGACTGTTAATCTACGTGCCTGTCTTTATGTTTACTACAGTGTCTTTGTTACCATGGCATTATAGTAAATGTAAGTCAGGTAGTATAAGTCCTCTACCTTGCTCTGTATTTTATCAAACTTATTTTAACTCCAGTTTCTTGTCAAGGTACATGAGAAAGACAGTATCAAGTCAATTTTGAAACATTTATTTTTTCAGTCTTTGTTTCTTCTATTTCATTTTGAATAGTTTATATTACTATGCTAAGTTCTCTAATATTTTCTTCTACATTATCTAGAGAACTCTTAATTCCAACCAGTGTAGTTTTATTAAAGATAGTTTATTTTTCATCTCCATAAGTACAGTGAAATTCAGAACAAAACTCAAGCACTAAGACTTTTTGTGATTTCCTTACTTAAAGTATTTGTTTTCATTTATAAGTATGAACAATATTTTGAGACAATCATTTTTTTTCTTTCAGCTGCAGTGGACTGCTCAGTTCCAATAAGTGTAAATACCAGCATCAAATGTAAGTCATTTTTACACACTACCTTTTTAAAAAATCATGGTAAAATAAACATCACATAAAATTTGTTACCCTAACTGTTTAACTTTAAAAACACAATACTGAAAACAAACTGTTCAAGCATTTAGATTCTAAAATGACAAGGTCATTTCACACTCACACTCCTGTGAATTAGAGTGTCGGTTTCTCCATGTCCTTTTTACAATTGTTCCCGACGCTCTGGTGATGGTAAGCATTGCAGCCAGAGCAAAGGAATCAGAAGGTTTTTTGTGACAGTGTCTGGGATCATCATACTAGTTGACACACTTTAGCTAAGAATATTCTAATTAATTCATTCCACAAACATCATTATTTGCTATAATATTCCTATTGTATCCTCTAAGAAATATTTGAGGATGAAAAAGGCTAAATGTGGTATTTCAGTCTACATTTTTTTCTTTGCCACACTGGGGATCAAACCTAGGTCTTATACAGGCAAGGAAAGTACTCTACTACTTCAGAGTACATTTTGTTTTATTTATGATGTGGTTTGATATGTTTATTTTTTGAGACATGATCTCATTATATTGCCCAGGCTGGTCTTGAACTCCTGGGTTAAGTAACAACTTGGACCTTTCACTAGTAGCCAGGACTACAGGAGAGTATCACCGTGCCTAGCCATAAAATGACTTTTTTTTTTTTTTTTGGTCATGGGGCTTGAATTCTGGGCCTGGCGCTGTCCCTCAGCTCTTCAGCTCAAGGCAAGTGCCCTATCACTTGAGCCATAGCAATACTTCTGGTTTTCTAGTGGTTTATTGGAGGTAAGAGTCTCACAGACTTTTCTGCCTGGGCTGGCTTTGAACTGTAATCCTCAGATCTCAGGCTCCTGAGTAGCTAGGATTACAGGCATAAGCCACTGAAGCCCAGCTCTAAAATGACTTTTTTTTTTTTTTTTTT